TATATATATATATTATCTTATTTTAATAATAAACATAATAATTCCATTGGCAAACTACTCAAATTAAGTGTAAATACACTTTATGTAAGAAATTTTTACTTTTTTCTAGAACGTTTTTCCAGTGTGTCTTTCAACATTTTTACAGTATAGATGACAACCTAAATCCCCCCATAAACTGCAGAGGTCAGTATAAGGACTTCAGATACAGGAACTTTGGAGACAGACAACGCTAAAATGGTTTGGACGGCTGATGGGATTGTGATATTGTACTCACTTGGAGCGCCTCCAAGGTGAACGGTAGCTTTAGCTCCGGCAGACCGGCTCTGTTTCGGGCCCACAGTCTGTTCACTGCTTCCATCCACATGCAGTTGCAGGAGGTTGTTTATCTTCACCACTGGAGAAGAAATCTGCATTACAAAATGCGACGGAGCGGTAAAAGATGCAGAAAATGATTTGATGGTCTAAACTCACCTCTGATCGTGTGCCATTGCCTGTTACAAAGAGGCTCCTCAGGGATTAAAGAGGTAGAGAATTCCCCTTTGCCGCTGTTTATGGAAACAATCACCTACACACACAAACACACTATTTTTAGGTTTGTTTTTTAGGACTCTGAAAAATTAGACAATAAAGACTCAATGCATTATTCTGAAGCTGATTTATTGGTTAAAGAAAGCATAGCTTCACCTCCCCCTGGCTTAGCACCAAGCTCATGTACTGGTCAGATGAAGTTCCCGCGTGCAACACCAGCCCAGAGTCTGAAGTGGGTCGAACCTCCAGCTGGATCTCAAAATCCCGACCCAGAACCAGAGAGTTGTCTGCCAGGAGGCGGAGACACTTCAATCAGTCTACACTCAAACGTAGACAAAAAAAATACAACGGCCGAAACACACAGGGATAGTACCTACCTATTTCCATGTGTCCTCCCTCCCCAGAGAAGTACACTCCAGGTTGTAGAGGGTTCTGGAAGCAGGGCACCACCCCCTGACTGTAAGCTGGGTTTCCTGCAGGGACTGCGTTCAGCTTCAGATCCCTGATGCATCCGATGAAACCATCACAGCCTGCAGGCTAGAATTTAAAACCCCCACAGAAGTGGAAAAATGAGCTTTGATAAAGTGCAAAAAGAACGTTTTTATATGAGGGGCAGTACAAGCCATAAATCATACTCATATACACATTTTATCCCGTACGATACATATTCTCATATACATATATTCTTCAACATATATACATACTTGCTCCTCACACACATATTAATTCTGCTTTCATTATAAATTATATAATAATTATTTAAATGTGTCATTAGTCTCCTAAAACTGGAAATAAATACAAATTTAAGGTAAATAAATAGTAACTTTTATGGTCCTCTGTTAAATATGTTGATTTTATTTCCAGTATTGAGTATAATTATTTTACAATTTAATAAATTATTCAATTGATTCTGCACTGAAGCACACCATGAACTAATTTAAAAAGTCAGAGGCGGGGCTAGAGCCGCACTCACAGAAACCCTGACGTCTGATTGGCTGCTTTTCATTTAAAAAGGGGAGAAAACTTCCTCCTGGTTTTGTTTTACTCTAAAGTCAATATTATTGCTGGAAAATTGTGTGAACTATGTATTTATACTAAAATTAACTTAAATCAGACCTTGATTGAGGCTGGGATTCCTCCAATAAATAAAGGCCCTGTGATCCGCATCTTGCTGCCTCCAGGTATCCTCTTAGATCGAACGCTGATGCCACCTACTGTCAGAATGATCTTGTTCCCTTCATGCTTTATGAAAACCTGCAGAGACACGGGAAGCAGAGAACTTTAGAAACATCTGGTGAACACAGTCCTGACCCATTACTTTCACAATTTCTCCTGTAAGAGATTTCTAAATCTCAAACGCTTCCTCCAAACTGAAGGGCAGGAGGAGAGTTCCTGCCTTAAGTGGAGGAGTTCAATTATCTTTGGGACCTTTTCACAAGTGAGGAGAGAATGGAGAGGGGATCGATAAACAGATCGGTGCAGCTGCTACTAACAATTAGACGCTGCACTGGTCTGTCGTGGTCAACGTTTCCACCCTCACCTGCAGTCATGAAATCTGGATCAAGACCGAAAAAACGAGATCTAGGATACAGGCGGCTGAAATTAGCTTTTTCTGCAGGGTGGCTGGGCTCCTCCTTAGAGAGTCAGTCATTCAGGAGGGGCTCAGAGTGGAGCTGCTTCTCCACATCAAGAGAAGTCATCTGCAGTGGCTCATGCATCTTTTTCTGATGCCCCCTAAAAGCCTCCCTCAGGAGGTGTTACATGCATGTCCCACCAGGAGGAGGCGCAAGGGACGGCCCAGGACATGATGTCTCTCGGCTGGCCTAAGAGCGCCTCGGGCTTCCTCCGGTAAAACTGCAATATGTGTCTGCAGAGAGGGAAGTGTGGGAACCTTTGCTATGCAATTTCTAAAATCTGTTGAAGATTCTCGTCATTCAGACAGGCTCGGACTGGGAACGACAACCAAGACTTCTGTAAAGTGGTTTTACTGGCTTTGGTTATTAACACAGACG